GTACCTTCTTGACGACGCCGATCCTTGTCTTGCAGTATCCAGTCAACTTCAATTTTAGTCGCTCGGCCATCTCTTTCTTAAGCTCTTGTTCAAGCTCGCGCCGAACATCTTCTGATAGATCGTCGAGTGTGACGACGATGACGTTCTCCGGATTGATGCCGCTCCCGTTCTTGGACTCGGTACTCATCGTGTAGCTCTTCTTCTTCTCGTCCCCAGCGGAGTCGCCAATTGTGTTGACACGGGAAATCGCCGCGCAACACCAGGATATTTGCCGTGCTTTCGTGACGACGAACGATTACTTTACGAGCAAAGCAACAAAGATTTCCTCGCTTTCGTGGAGGAGAGACGACCGTTTTACAGCGCAAAACGGCAAAGATCAACCAAACCCTAGGGCTGCTAAGGCTCGGCAGAAAAGAACGATAGAGAAAAAGACATACGTAAAAAAGTAATGTTTGTATTGATAGATCGGGGTTTTTCAATCGGCCGTGGCCTTATAAATAAGGTACGCTGGACTTTGCGTATACAAGGCAGGACTTGGTTCCGTAGCATGCCTTGTCGTACAGGAATACAACTCCAAAACTAAAACCGAACAGGACTTGATTCGGTTACCATGTAACATGCGTACAAAAAATATACTTGCCAATCTAAGTACGTAACAAATCTAGGCCATATCCACGTACATGCAGTCTTGCATATATAAAGTATTCCGGCCACGTCGCCATCACACTAAATATAGTGGCTAAGCATATGTATAAATACCTTGAACCCATCAAGAAAATATTAAATATTCCGGCCACGTCGCTATCACCCGATAATATAGTAGCCCAAGTTCTAAGCATATACGTACAAATACCTTGAGCCTTTAAAGAAAATAATAAAATACTCAGGCAACGTGGCAAATCAACCTGGATAATAGCCATCAGCACTAAGCATACTTCTCCGCACACGTAGATATATAGACCATGCACTCCATGCCCATAGATTAGCTTAGCATCCGATCCTTCTTAGAACATGCATCTTTGTTGTCCATGAAAATTCCTGTTGCAATCTTTAAACAAAATAGTAACTGATTAGCTTGGATGACCACTAATTAATTTGTCCTATCAACAAACTGCTAGCCAAATTACACCATGAACAATGTCTCTCTCTAATGGTAATATGTGTCTCATTATATTATAAGGATCATAATACAAACTACGTACACACCAACCTGATAAAATAAAAGGACGTCTCTCTCTCTCGCCAAGCCACAGTCCAAAATTGCTTCACGTGTTACATACAGCGGTACAGGCCGCCACCGCCCCGGGAGTCAGGAAACACGTACTTCTTCGCCGCGAAAGCCCGGAGTATCCCCGGCAATTCTGCAAAAATTAATGTGAATCCGCCATCGGGGCCGATCCAACGGCTCAGCTCGCTCCTATTCTAGCTGAAGGCAAGGCACTACGACCGTAGGATGCGCTCATTTAGACGCTTACCGTTAGTAATGGTCTCTCCTAGTTACTTTTACCGCCAACGCCGGAGTTAAACTGAGACTTAAATAAGCCGGAATGTGCCTAGGGTTCCATTCATCGCTCAACGCTTCCTATGTTTTTGGATGGTGACTCAAGGGGCTTTCAAAAACCTTTATTGTTAATTATGCAGGTGCAAGAGTAGTAGTATCGCCGCTGCGGTCTAATTGCAGTCTCTTTATTAAAGTTTTAGAGTATTTCATCTTATAAAGATTAATACTATTGAGAAGACGTCTTTAATAGATGTTATTCTAATTCTTAGTCATGTGAGTTATTTTGTATTTCCTTTAATTTTGGAACCAAAGCAGTGAATCCCTAATGGTTATAAGTATGAATAAAATTACTCCTTGTTCCAGATTTAAAACAAAGATGTACTAAATCGGTGGCAATTGGTATGGATCGGAGGGAGTACATGTTTTCTAAAAAAGGGCCACCGATAGAGAGGAAAGCTAGAGGCAAGAAGTATATTCTTTTTTCTGTGTCTCTCTCCTGGTTTTACCCACTTACTTTAGTTTTTTTCTTCACATTCATGTTTTAGCTTTACTCCTTTTTATCATTCTCCAGCTTTCCCGTTTTCACTTTGTGAATACCTTTTAGAATTGATGCTCATTTTTAGAAGTTTGTGAACATTTAGTTATATTAGTTAAACTATTAAAAAATTATGAACAGTTTTTTAAAAAGTAAATATTTGTAGTTTGTGATATTTTAGCAAACTCCTGAATACTTTTTACATTCACGGACAATTTTCAAATTTATGGATACTTAAAAATTTCTGAATAGTTTTTAAGTTTGTGTAATTTTTTTCAAAAAGCTAAACATTCACGGACATTCAAGGACGAGTCTAGCTGACGGCCGGACGCTCGCTAGCGTTTGCTAGCGGCCGGCCAAAGAAAGTAAATGCATGTCACATGGTCCCAGGGACTAGACAACCGCGTACTGAGAATGCAAAATTACTGTAATCCAAAAGTGCTAAAAAAGACATTGTTAATTAATCATCCTATGTGGTCTCTTCTCACATGATGGATGCCTGCATGTCATTGCATTAATATTCCTCATATTCATCCCTTGTGCATTAATTTTTGGTTTTCAAAATTATAAAAGAGATATCTTCTAAATCGCGCGTCGAAATTCAGATCCGTTTTCACTGTTGAAACCCTCGCGACGTGCTCTTCAAAAGTAGATCCCGCAGGGGGGTGTTTCAACGAACTAGTCTTTCTGTCAACTAAACATCAATGTATGTGCAACTATACTACATTGCCGCACCAACTGAGCATATGTGTGTGCCAAATAGTCCTGCCAACTAAACATCAAAGTGTGTGCAACTAGACTACATTGCCGCGCCAACAGAGTATATGTGTGTGCCAATAGTCCTGCCAACTAGACATCAAAGTTGTCATGGTTGCTAGACTGCAATCTCATAGGAAGTTGAATTATGCAGATCCAAAAATTGGTTTTGCAAAAAGTTGCACGATCTAGTACTAAACTTGCACAATACAGTACTAAAGTTGCACCATATAGCATCAAAGTTGACATTAAAAAAATTGTCGAAACATACTCATGCGGGATCTAGTTTTAAAGATCTCGTCGCAAGAATTCCAGTAGTGAAAACGGATTTGAATTCCGACGCGCGTTTGAAAGATATGACTTTTTAAAATTTAAAACTTCGAAATAAATATGCATGAATCTATTATCTTCGTAATGGAGTAATGAGTGTGAAGCATTTAATGCTAACAGCTAAATGTACTAGAAGACAAAAAAATTAACAGCCACATGAATGCAAGACGCGGCCGCTCCATTCAACCAAATAGTATGTATGCACTTTTTATATTTTTGATTTCAAAAAATGTTATACTTGTAAAATTCAGGAACATTTTAAAATTTGAAAAAACATCACTATAATTACAAAAAACTACAAGAACTTGGGAGCATTTCTAAATTGAGCTTTTTGATAAAAATTCATTTTTTTACAATCCAATATTTTGAAATTTTCTATAGTAAGGCCTGCTGAAAATTGATATTATGGGAGTATCGAAGCATTGGTATCACTTGATATTCATCAGGTGCAAGGAAGAGGACTTGAAAGATGTGTGATATTGAATCCGGCGTGCGCCGACCGCTCCAGTACACGCGTCCGTCCCTCAAGGCACAAGACATAATTGATGGGCGTGTTCCCCGTGCGACTTCGACGTGTTCCCTCCATTATTGACAACTTGCCGACTTATTTGGACCAAAAGACATACGTGGTGCAAAATAGGAAGACAAAATGCATGTGAGGCGGCATACGCGTCTACGCTACGCACGTGAAACAGATTTGGGCAAATCTGATGAGGATGTGCCGTGCGTGTACGGGTTGCCACCCAGGCAACACGTGAAACAAATTTTGGCGCTCGCTCGGCCGTACGTGGACTAGTGGCGGACAGATGTTGTCCATGGATTGGCCCTATATCATAGGATACTGCACATGCAGGGCACCCCGGATGGCTATTGTGGCTCTATAAAACAAGGACGTGTGCTTCGTAGTCTCTCGTAAAAGAAAACATCTTGGCCACTTCCCTTGTGTCTAGTCTCTCACTTCGGCATAAGGAGGTACAGTTATTACGTTCTGTTTTTCTTATTCTTCCTTCCTTACTCCAGTACTCCATCCGCTTCTAAATATAAACTGTTTTAGAGATTTTAATACTGACTACATACAGATGTATACAACCATATTTTAGAGTGTAGATTCACTCATTTTGCTTCGTATGTAGTACATATTGGCGTTTCTAAAATGTCTTATATAAGTCTTTTTAATGATTTCAATGCGGACTAAATATTTTT